CCATGAACTCATTTAACTAGATGGGTTAGATGGTTAAATGGATTGACCCATTAATGTAATAAATAAATTAATAATTAAAGTAAATTAACAATAGAAAGAAAATAATAATAATATTCTTGAAAATCACGAATTTACGTTCCACGGATTTACGTTTTTGGCGGGAAAATAACGAATTTAAGTTTTTTTGCGGGAAAATCACGGATTTACGTTTTTGGCGGGAAAATCACGGATTTAGGTTTTTGGCGGGAAAATCACGGATTTAGGTTTTTGGCGGGAAAATCACGGATTTACGTTTTTTGGCGGGAAAATCACGGATTTACGTTTTTGGCGGGAAAATCACGGATTTACGTTTTTGGCGGGAAAATGATCCATTCTCATTTTTGGTTAAAAATTGTAAAAAATTTTGGCGGGAAAATTATGGATTTACTTTTTTGGCGGGAAAATCACGAATTTATATTTTTGGCGGGAAAATTGTGTATGCACATTTTTGGCGGAAAAATTAAGGATTATATTCAATCGGTTTAGAAGTTTTGGTTAGACACAAATTGAAATCGGTTTAGAGATTTGGATTGGTTTAATTCAATTTAACAAAAATTGATGGGTAAAATGGGTAAACCATTGAAATCATTGACCCATTACAACCCAACTCATTTCACCCATCAATCCATTTAAATCAATAACTCATTTGATCCATCAACTCATTTGAGTCAAAAATTTCAACTCATTAGGATTCATGGGTTGAGTTGAGTTTAGTTGACCCATGAATCTTGACCCATTTTGACACCCCTAAACGTCACGTTACAAATACAAGTTTAATTGATTGCTGTCGAGAAAAAAAAAAACATTTGGTTAAAAGAAGCTGGTAATCTGTATGGGCCAGGCCAGATATATCCAACTAAGGCCCAACTATTTAAAACCCAAAACAAAAATAATGGTTTAGGACCTTAGGTTAACTAGTGCTCGTTATGAGAAACCCTAGCTCCTCTTGCCGTCTCTATAAATCACCTTTCGATTATCAACAATCTCCTCCATCATCGTCTTGCACAGGTTTCGATCTCTTTACTCCATTAAAATCGTAGCTTTAAGACTCGTTTTAGTTATCAAATTCGTGTTTATAGACTCACTGATTTAGTTTGTTTTTAACGATTTGAAATCTTAGATTCTCTGTTTCTAGTTTTCTCCTCTGTTCTTGTTTTGGTTTGCGAATTATACTATTGTAGGATTAGGGTTCTTGAGGTGATGATGATAAAACATAATCCCAGCTCTATGAGACCTTTTGTGGTCAAGGACTATAATTATGTTCATACATATATCTGAGCCTTTAAATTATAATTTCTTGATTGATAAATTCTTTGTTAGATTTGTTTGGTTTTGTCTTTGTAAATTAGTTGTTTTTAAAATCAAATTTGTTAACTTGTGTTCTGTTTTTTTTTTTTCTAAATTAGGGTTTGATTTGGCTATGATGATAACATATTATCCCAGCTCATTATGAGGCCTTTTGTGGCCAAGGAAAATAACTGTTTTCTATAACATATCTGAGCCATAAAACCTTAAATTAACATTCTTGTTTTGATATTATTAGTTTAATATGAATTTTATTATACGTATAGGCTTTAAATCTTGTTCCCTATGATGATTTAAAATCAATACCATGCTAATGTATATCTGATAATTTTTTTATTTGATTTATAAGTGATTTGCTGAGGGAGCAAATGTTTTAAAGTTTTTGTTTTGGGTTATGATCTTGTTGAAGTTAAGGATTCCCTATGATGGTATTAACCATGCTAATACTGATGTCTTATGACTGAATCAAAGTTATGTGTCTGAGGGAATTTCTTAAGAATTTTCTTCCTAGGTTTTTAAAGAGATCTTCTTAGAAGAATAAGAAAACCCATAAAACCAGTCACCGCCAAAATTATGTAAATAAATAGACTGTTTAGAGAAAAAAATTCAATTCATTATGGTAAATTCTTTATTCTATTCTTTTTTACAAAAAAAAAAAAGGTTGTTATGCATCTATGCCACACTAGTTATATATTCTACCATCCCATTAAATAAGTGAAAGATTAAAATTCATCTTGATCTCTGAGATTTTGATCCAACAAGCACATTTATAATTTAGGCGTACTAAATCTTCTGAGTTCTTTGAACCCACTACAATGTGGATATGCACCCACCAAGCCTTGTTCAGTTATTGAGGAGTCCATGAAGCTCAAAACGTTTAAGAGTTAAGCCCATATGAACGGTGTTGAATATGAACGGTGTTGAATCGACTAATATTGTTCATATCGAGTGTATTTGGACTAGAATGTATGAGCCCAATGGGCTTGGATTCAAACACTTTGCCACATCAATTATCCAAGGAGCCAGGACCACTAAACATATTAATTAAAGAGAAAAACTCAGCATATTTCAGAATCAAGCTCAAAGTGTATAATGTATTTTAGTAAGAAGATCACAATACTAATTTCATAATTTTTAAAAATATTTGTAATCTTTTCATATCCACTCATAACGTCGGGCAATCAAATATTATCATCTATTAAGAAAATACAAAAATTTGTTTGTATAATTATTTTGTTCTCTACATCGAACCCCTCCTCTGTGGCGGAAGCCTTAGAGGGTATGCTTCCACGAGTGACAGTTCAAATGAATATTGACCTCGCTAGACCGGTGACTGGTGAGGAAATCCGTATGGCAGTCTTTAGTATCAAAGGAGATAGTACACCTGGAGCGGATGGAATGTCAGGACATTTTTATCAGACGTATTGGGATATTGTAGGACCTCAAGTGATCAAAGACGTTCAACAATTTTTTGAATCGGGTGTTCTTCCTTCGGAATGGAATTTCACTCAGATTTGTCTACTTCCCAAGAAACCAAACCCCTCTAAAATGACTGATTTAAGACCCATAAGCCTCTGTTCCGTCATCTATAAAATCGTCTCTAAGGTACTCTGTTCTCGGATTAAGAAGTTTTTACCTTTGATCGTGTCGGACACACAAGGTGCCTTTGTTTCAGGACGCCTAATCTCCGATAACATCCTCCTAGCTCATGAAATGGTTCATGCGTTGCGCACCAATCCACGATGTGATGAAGAGTTTATAGCGATTAAAACCGATATGTCAAAAGCATATGATAGAGTGGAGTAGAATTTCCTTGAGGAATTACTCCTAAAGCTTGGTTTTAATATTAAGGTGGTTCTTTGGATAATGAGTTGTGTGCGATCCGTCTCATATTTTGTTATAATGAATGGTGGATCTTATGGTTTTATTAAACTGGAGAGAGGTATAGGACAAGGTGATCCATTGTCACCCTTTCTTTTCATATTATGTGCTGAAGCATTGGTGCATATTATGAATAAGGCGGAGATTGAAGGAAGACTCACCGGTTTACGCTTGACAGAGAGTTGTCCGTCGATCCAACATCTTCTATTTGCAGACGACAGCTTGTTCATGTGTAAAGCAAACTTCAAAGAATGCTCGGAATTTTTGCAGTGTCTTCACTTGTATGGTGAGGCATCGGGCCAGGAAATCAACTTCCAGAAGTCGTCAATTACTTTTGGTAAGCGGCTCGATCCTTACATGAGAAGATTACTTGGTTTATTCACAGGCATTGATCAAGAAGGTGGAGCGGGTAAGTTTCTAGGACTCCCAGAATGTTTCAGCGGTTCTAAGCGAGAACTCCTTGGTTTCATTACGGATCGTCTTAAAAGTGAGACTAGGAGGCTGGTATGAAAAGACATTATCCTTGGGAGGGAAGGAAGTTCTTTTAAAATCAGTGGCTATGGCGTTACCGGTGTATGCAATGTCGTGTTTCCGGTTGACAAAGCATCAATGCCAACAAATTAGAAGCGCCATGTCCTGTTTTTGGTGGAATGCATGTGCAGACAAGCACAAAATGCATTGGGTTTCATGGGAGAAGCTGTGTAAGTCTAAATCACAAGGAGGTTTGGGTTTTAGAGACATTCAACCAATCCTTACTTGCGAAACAAGCTTGGCGACTCCTCGACGCCCCGAACTCTTTGGTTTCTCGTGTTTATAAAGCTAAATACTTTGCTACGAAAAGTTTTTTGGAGGCAAAAATTGGCTATAGACCGTCGTATGCTTGGAGAAGCATAATGTTTGGTCGGGAATTGTTAGAGAGAGGGCTAATGAAATCGATAGGGGATGGAGAGGACACAAGTATTTGGGCTGATAAGTGGATCAAAGATGACTTCCCGCGACGGCCGATTAATAAGGAACTGATGATGGATCTTAACCTCAAGGTCTCATCATTGATTACATCACAAGGCGGTTGGGACTTAAACCGTCTAAAGGAGCTTTTTCATCCCTGTGATGTTACTCAGATCAGTTCATTTCCCCCAGTACCGGCTTTACAGGATAGATTTGTGTGGGCTTACACTAAAGATGGAAGATACTCTGTAAAAAGCGGAAATTGGGTTCTGGGAAGAGAGGCTACATCCATGGAGTTAGTTCCGGAAAATATGCAGAATTTAAACAAGCTAAAAGAAAAGATTTGGTCTATCCTAACAGCTCCTAAAATCAAGTTGTTCCTCTGGCGTGCTCTTTCTGGGGCTCTAGCTGTCGCAGATTGTTTAAGGAACCATGGTCTCAACATTCAAACCATGTGTGCAATATGCAATAGAGAAGAGGAGACAGTGTCTCATGTATTATTCACATGCTCTATGGCTGCGCAGGTGTGGTCCGATTATAATGTCCCAGTACCAAGCCAAGGCTTCTCTAACTCTGTTTCGAAAAACCTGGAATATGTGTTTGGACTGATTGGAAAAACAGAGTTAGACCCGTGTTTTCGATCTGCACTACCATGGCTTTTATGGGAGATTTGGAAGGTGATGCGGTCATCAACCCAAGATCCAACCATGGAGAAGATTATGGGCGAGAAACAACAATCCAGGAGCAGCCAAGTGGGATTTTTAACCAAGTTTTATCTAAAACTTCGGGCCAAACCAGATTCAGCCTACCCGAGAAGACCCCTGAGCCTTGTTCAGTCCAGACGAAGTCCAAGATCATTTCCTCCGTCCCAGAGAATACTTGGAATACATTCTCATCTCAAATACCGAGCACCTCGAAGAAGAATCATCCCAAAAGGAGTTCACACGAACGAGTTATTCAATTTACAAGTCGGGTGATTCCCAGCTTGCCCGATTTGGACATACACGGAGTCATTGGAGGATTCCGACCCGACCAGAAGGAGTTAAGCTACGAAGTGAATTTTCATACAATCTTAACTCATCATCGAACCACGGAGAATTGGAATCAAGTCCATACCGATTTTGGTTTGAGACATATTAATTTTCTAAACCGAAGAACCCTCGACTTGCCTTATTTGGAACCTTACGGGTTTAGGAGACTCGAAACGTATCATTGGCGCCCAGGAGACTTTATGATACTTCCAGAAGATCCCTACAACACTATAGGGTGCACCAATACACATGGGATCAGGCAGATCCTCCCACACCTTCACTTTCCATATCCGGAACTGAACTTGCCTTATTTGCCTTGTTTGGAGACAAAGGAGATCAACCAGCAACAACTCCTTCTCCAGCTGTTTGAGTGCGTTTTAGAGACCCCCAAAGATCACAAGAGACTTCCAAGGACGCACCACTTCCTTCCCAAGCTTTCAAGATACAAGCTAACGGCTACTTTCCTTATTTCGCCGGATTTTGCCATTTAATTTCCAACGGCTAGTTTCTCATTCAATTTTGCGATTTGCTTCTTGTTTTAGACATTAGAGCTGTTGTATTTCGAGCCTATATAAGCTCAGCTCATTCCTCATTATAAATCACCCTTAATCATATTAAAGTAATAAGAACATTTTCTTCTTGTCAAAGTTTGAGTCTTTGTCGTTTGTTCATTAGTCTTAAGTGAATGAGTCTCTTAGGCCTATTTGAATATGCGGATTAAGTTTGTTGATAAGTTCAACATCCTTGTTTCGTTCATTGATCGAGTGAGTCGATTAACCCATTGATTGAGCGAGTCAATCATACTATCTCCACATCGTTTCCATCCTTCCGCGGGATTAAGCTTGGAATCTCTTGATCATTGAGTGATCATAAGTTGGATTGGTTCCAATCTTATATCAGAAGGCCCGAAATTCTGTTTTATACTCAGCCAAAACTCCGGATCACCACTTTGTAATCGCTACTGCGTTAGAAGAAGCAGAGGAATGGATACAACAGAATCAACAAACTTCACAAGAGCGGGCGTGGGACTCACGGAACCGTAGCCGAGTCCATCGGTTCTGGATTAAACCAGCTATTGGAGTTCTTAAGTGTAATTTACATTCGTCTTGGATAAATGAGGATAGTTTTTGTGGAGGGGCTTGGATCATAAGAACCCACACGGGTGATGCTCTGTTCCACGCACGGGATGCCTTTTTACCTTTCTTTAACAGGATTGCAGCTGAGCTCCACTGCATCTTATGGACTCTGCAAAGCCTACATGATCTTCATATTTCTTTCTGTGAGTTGTGGACTGATTGCGCGGCTGCAATATCCGGCCTGGAGAATCCACATGAATGGCCAAAATATCGTTCTGTCCTTGGAAAAATTTTACAGGTTGTACGGGTGATGGGGGAGGTGTCTTTCAAACTCTCTTCACCGAAAGCCAATTCATTGGCTAGGGAGATAGCCTGCAGTGTTACCAGAGACGGACGCCTCACTTCCTATTTGGCGCTAGGAGGACCTTCATGGCTTCAAGATCGTATCGACAAAGATCGTCGCTCCCATGGTTAACTCTTCTTTGGCTTATCTATGTTTCTATTGGTTTGTTTAGTTATCGTTTCCTTTTTCGAACTACAACTTTGTATCTCTCTACTTCTCATATCAAGTTATCTCAGTGGAAAAAAAAATTATTTTGACTAATAAATCACTAATCCCACCCACCACATTTGGACAAAATCGCCGCGATTCCTCTCCGATCAGCGCCTAGGCGGCCGCCTAGCCGGCCGATTTTTAGAACAAGGATTGAGACAAAACAAAATGAAGACTTTTTGTCACCTAGTACCCAGCTGTAGTGATCAATTATATAGATTTCTTGCTACACGTAGAAACCAAATCCGCAATTATTGATTCCAGGCTATAAAACCAAATATGAGTCTAAGCTCCGATCTCAAAAGTTTGGACGACATGAAGAATGTTTTGGAGGATTTAACATCATACAATTCTAAAGCAAAAACCCAATTTTTTTTTCTTTTATTAATAAACCATATTTTTAAAATAAAACCCAATCACTTTCGTTTTTCCATTTACTTGTTTAATAAGATATGATTTTAAATATTTTATTTAATTTGGAGTCGTAATTAACGGGTGTTAGTCAACCGTTATGGTTGCTA